AAGCCCCCCCCCCCTCTTCCCATCAGAGTTCACCCTCTCACATCAGAGCTCCCTTTCATATCAGAGTGCCCCCTTTACATCAGAGCCCCCATTTCAAATCAGATACCCCCCTTCACATCAGAGTCCTAAAATGACAACATTTCTAGGCACCCCTGAGAAAGTCAGAGGGCACGCTGGTAGAGGAAAGCTGCTGTAATCATCATTACTACTTGTGTCAGGAAACTGAAAGGTGGGAAGGAACAGAATGTCAGTGTGACGATCATCCTTCCACTTACTGCTCATCAGCAGAGCAGAACAGGCTGATTCCCCAAAAACGCATGACTATGGGCGAGTCCATAAGACCGGTTCGTTACTTACAAGCCAGTCCTCATTCTTTGGTGACAAGATTAAGGTTCGCCCAAAAAATCTATTCACTGCACTTCAATATCCTCCACTCTTATTTACTGCAAAGTCACATCCCCAACCTCAGCTTCTCCGGCGACTTCATAGAAATACACAGCTGAGTGGAGGAGATCAGAGTGGGGTGCATGGATATTTGGAGTGGAGAGGAGCCGGGCCCGACACCCAGGACTCACACAGTGTGTGGGGTTGTCGGCTCCCTTAATCAGCTGATCCAAGGAGCCGGCTGGAAAATTGATCGGGTATTCTGACAGGTGCCGGCGGGTTCAACGAGAAAAATCGATAGGTGTATGGCCGGCCTAAAGGTGCCTATACACTCTGCGACTATCGTTCGGAAATCATCCACCAATGGTCTTTCGAACGATAATCTATCAGTTGATGGGGCACCAATGATTTTAATGACTGTACTTCTGTCCAAATTTCCTCGATCTGTTGGGCTGGAAAAAGTTTTTTTGAATCGTATGAAAATCGATGAATTAGCGGCAGTTTTGTAGGAAAGAATCCAAACAAGAACACTGCCCATGCGCAAAATCCGTTCTGACCATCAACAAAATTCGGGGAGTTAGTATTGCTAACAAGCGATTTTCAAAATCAGCATTAGACTGTGCATGATGGGGTATTCGCGCTAGAATCGAAAGAGGGTTAGATGACGGAACGCAGGAGATCGAACGATAATCGCAGAGTGTATGGCCAGCTTTGGATTGTATGGATTTGGACTGTATGGATTTAGATTGTATGGATTTAGATTGTATGGATTTAGATTGTAGGCATTTAGATTGTATGGATTTGAACTGTATGGATTTGGACTGCATGGATTTGGACTGTATGGATTTAGATTGTATGGATTTGGACTGTATGGATTTAGATTGTATGGATTTAGATTGTATGCATTAAATTGTATGGATTTAGATTGTATGGATTTGGACTGTATGGATTTGGACTGTATGGATTTAGATTGTATGGATTTGGACTACATGGATTTGGACTACATGGATTTGGACTGCATGGATTTGGACTGCATGGATTTGGACTGTATGGATTTGGACTGCATGGATTTGGACTACATGGATTTAGATTGTGTGGATTTGGACTGCGTGGATTTGGACTGCATGGATATAGATTTGGACTGTATGGATTTGGACTGTATGGATTTAGATTGTATGAATTTGGACTGTGTGGATTTAGACTGCATGGATTTGGACTGTATGGATTTGGACTGTATGGATTTAGATTGTATGGATTTGGACTGCGTGTATTTGAACTGCATGGATTTAGATTGTATGGATTTGGACTGTATGGATTTGGACTGTATGGATTTAGATTGTATGAATTTGGACTGTGTGGATTTGGACTGCGTGGATTTGGACTGCATGGATTTAGATTTATGGATTTGGACTGTATGGGACACTGACAGGGGGGGGTCTCATTGGTTGCCTTGGGCAGCACAGACTGTCAGAGACGATCCCTGAGCCCGGTCGTCAGCCGGTGTTGAGGGGCTGAGAGTGCTCCGTGTTGTTCTGCAGCCGGGCTGATGAAACGTGCGCTCTAATTATGGACGCGATGGTAAAAACATGTTTACAAGACTATAATGATAGTAGCTGACAGCACATCGAGGACATGTTTCATACGAGGACAGACAGGCCCCTGTGGGATACTGTCATTTTAACACGCCGTTCCAGTCGCCGTCAGGTTTTCCAATCCAAAATGTTAATTTTTTTAAATTTTTGTGAACAGGCCCCCAAAAAACTAACGGACAGCTCAGAATTCTCACGGACGCATCGCCATGACAACACAGAGAGACGCACTGATAATGCAGGATAGTTTGTAGCGGTATAATCTTACTAATGCTGTGATAAGTAGTCATAATATATAATGATCCATAATTATTGTGGGTGACGGGAGCAGTAATGGGCACGTTGGTCACTATTCAGGGTGGCGGGTGATATAGACGTACCCCCCTCCCCCCCGCACACTATTTTGGATGCTGCTGCCACATAGGATCTAAATTGCACATTTCGGCATTATTTTGAGGAAAACAAAGATTAGGAGGGAATTACACATGTCATGTGACCTACCACCAAAGATCACATGGTCTCTGGCCACTAGGTGCATTGTGGGTGTTTCACATTATTCAGGAATGCAAAGGGTGAATTATAGTTAATCACGTAGACACTGTGTGGTAGTCCTACAGTGAGATTAAAGGACAAGGCACAATTATTGTGCAGCAAGATAATGAAGGGATAAGATGAAGGTCTTAGTGCAGAATAACACACACACACACACAGTTGAACTGAATGGATCTTGGTCTTTATTCAACCTTACATACTATGTGACTATGTACAGGTGAAACTCGAATAATTAGAATATCGTGCAAAGTTCATTTATTTCACTAATGCAACTTAAAAGGTGAAACTAATATATGAGAGAGACTCATTACATGCAAAGCAAGATAGTTCAAGCCGTGATTTGTCATCATTGTGATGATTATGGCTTACAGCTCATGAAAACCCCAAGAACCCCAAATCCACAACCTCAAAAAAGTAGAATATTACATGCAATCAATACAACAAGGATTGTACATAGAACAATATCGGACCTCTGAAAAGTACAAGCATGCATATGTACTCAGTACTTGGTTTGGGCCCCTTTTGCAGCACTTACTGCAATTACTTTTGCACGATATTCTAATTATTCGAGTTTCACCTGTATGTTACTTTTGGTAGGTAAATAGATATCTGTACATCAGACCAAAAGGAAGTAGGGCTGCAACTAACAATTATTTTCATAATCGTTTAGTTGGTCGATGATTTTTTCCGATTATTCGGATTAAAAAAAATACCGTCCTTAATTTAAACTAAAATACATAAATGCCGTGTTACAAACATAAAGTTTACTTCAGAATAAAACGGTATGCACATTTTTTTGCACTCACATCGCACTGGAGTGCAGGGCATTGGGGTACCGCACGTTCCAGTGCAAGGTGATCACACTGCGGCTCGGAGGTGCGATGGGGATGCCACTGAAATTAATGGCACTACAACGCAGAATTTTCAGGCCGAAACCAAAGACGACGCTTGCCACCTTATAGATATATATATTATAAAAGCCGGGTCATCCGTTTAGAGCTAGCCATGAAAATTGGCCTGAGAATTGTTGCTCTCATTCCGGCGCACGAGGCAATACCTGACATGCGTAGCACAGTTGTTGTTTTTCTATGTAGGTGCACCCGACTTGCGTTTCCGTTAGTATACGCACGTTTTCAGGGTTGGGGAACTTTACATTCTTTGGGGTGAATTTTTTATTTAATTTTATTTAACTGTATTTTTTTTAAAATGTTTTACTTCATTGCTATCACATGAGGGGGGGCTCACAAGCCCTCTGTGATAGCACATTGGAGGTGGCAGGTTCTGTTTAAGGTGACATTAGGGGTATTTTAGAGCCCTAGTGTCACCTTTCCACTTCACTGGATTCAGCTGCTGAGGCAGCTGAATGTCAACACAGCAGGCAGTGGCTGGGAGCAATATCCAGCCTGCTATTGGTCATTTTTAATTG